AAAGGAGAGAATTAATAGAATTTCAAATCCCAACTATGTTTGGTTGTGTTGGTTATAAAATAGAATTGATGTCTTAAAAGGTCTCCTATTTCTTTATTTATTTCTCACCCCCTTTCTTTTCCCATATATTTTTTATTATAACCAAACATAAATAAGATTACATTTCTCATTCCTTTTCCAAATCCCACCCCAGAAACCCCAACCAAACACAGCATAAAGGTATTCTTTTGGTTTCATGTTTCTTTGGCTCCACGTAACTTCCACGCACAACCCCAAAATAGAATAATAATAAAAAAAGGAAAAAGCGAAAAAACCGTTAACATCATTGTTTTCATATTCACTTACAATAGGTATATCCTGAGATTAATACGAAGGGTGTATTTGGTTTGTATTTATAAAGTAATTTTTGAGATAAAATATATGAAAATTTATTTGGTTTATCTTTTTTTAGAAATAATTTTAAAAAATTATTTTGATAAGAGAATCTTAAAAAAAATAATTGATTTAGGGTTGGTTTGGGATGTTCTAAAAAAGTGCACTTTTTGACTTATTGGCTTATATGGGTTGGGTTTGATGTGATGTGTTAGAGAGGTGATGTGATTTAAATAAGATGATGTGACTTAAATAGGATAATGACTTTTTGACTTTTTGTATTATTTAGATTATGCCAAACTTGGCCTTAATATGTATGAGAGAGAGACTGATTTGAAAAGTAGGTAATCAAATAAAATTTTAAATTTTTTTTAAAAAAATTTATTTGATTTAATTGCTCTTAAAAATTCATTTATAGAAAAAAAATTTCGAAAAACAAACCAAACAAAGCCCAGTCTCTCTCAATTCGCAACAATGTAGACTTGTCAACGAATTAGATCATAGACTTTAGAAATTTATTTAACGTGTTCTACTTTCGTCAACGAGCTTTGTCTGCTCCTAGTCATCTCTTTTCAACAGTGCCTTGCAGTAGGTATACAAATGCTATGTTTGGCTGGTTTTTTTTTTGATTATTTTAGTTAAAATAATAAAATAAATTAAAAAATTAATAAGATAAAATATCATATTCAAATCATGATTATTTTATTTTTTCTTTTATGAAAGTTAAAAAATTTATTCTAAACGAGATTTTTTAACTTCAGACTAAAATAATTAAAAAGTCAAAAGGCCAACCTACATCTCAAGCGAAGGCATAATACTAGCAAAACCCGTGTAATTTGCATATTACATTTTTACAAAAATAAAAAGTTTGCAAAATTATCAATTGACAAATAAAAATAAAAAAAGATTATTTCTAAAAAAAAATTCCAAGACATAACAAAACAAAAAAAAAGGAGAAAAAAAATATCAGACATGCTTTTTTTTTTATTAGAATAAAAATACTTTGTAAATTTGTTTATATCTATATTTAAAGTAATTTTCACTACAATTTTGACAGTGAATAGAACCTCAAAAGCACTCATTAGAACTGGAAAATATATATATATATATATATAACAAGTATGGTAAACATGTGTTTTTAAAACACATATTAAAAGAATTTTACATTATTTATTAACTTATTTTCATATAAAATGTATAATATTTAATTTTTTTAAAATATTAACAAAATTTGGATATAGTTATACTTTTTACCCATTTTTTTAGGGTCCGGCTTTGGTCCAGTCCACCATTGGACTAGATCGTGCTGTTGGGTCCGTGAGGGCCCACCACGGGTCCCGTTTTAAAAATCTGAACCGTCAATTTGTAGAATTCTTCAAGTAGTATATGCTTGTAAAAAATCATGTTGATCGGATATCGATAGCTATGTGATCAAATCAGTTTTGTATAAAAAAATGGACGGTGAATAAATTAACGATTGGTAAGAAACTGATTTGATCACATAATTATCGATATCCGATCAACGTAATTTTTTACAGGCATATAGTACTCGAAGAGTTCTACATATTAAACAATTCAAATTTTCAAAACAGGACCCGTAGTGGGCCTCCACGAGCCCAATAACACAGTCTAGTCCGATGATGGACTGGATCAAAGCCAGACCCTTTTTTTATCTATCTTTCTTCATTTGTCCCACCAGTCATCCCTCTCTCGTTACCCCCAAACCCCTCTATTAATTCAAAATTTAAAAAGACAAATATAAACAAGTATCCCTATATATTGTTCAATGTTAAGATTAATGTAAAAAGTATTTTGAAAATAGTGAAATGTTAAAAGTGTTTTAAAATGAGTAAAAAAATATTATAAAACTAATAAAAAATGGATTGAGCTTTACACTTATTTTGTTTTTTTTGACCCATTTGAAAAATATATTTTTTATTTTTAAAAACACGTGAAACCAAATAATCCGAACCCGGCCCTTTCAATTGTTGATGGGTTGGCCGGGGGTCCGAATATTTGATGAGCGAAGAGTTCACGCTTCTCGACGCCTCTATACAAAATTCCTTTCCTCCAACCATCGCTTTCTCATTTTAACGTAACGTCCAATTCTCATTTTTGAACGTTTATATATAAAATAAAGGAAAATAATGCCATGGCAATGATGTGCATATATAATTTTTATATAAAATTCGAGTAAAGTTAGAAATTATGAAAAAAATATTATGAAGATGATTATGAAATATTCTCCATCTTTAAATTACTCATACAATAAAACACCACACACAAATCAAATGATGAAAATTTTTTATGATGCATTTCATGATATTTTTTTCATGATCTCTAACATTACTCGTAAAATTCATAACAAAAATTAGATATTGCTAACGAGTATTTTTAGGAAAAAAGAAAAAGATAAAAAATATGTATAGATCTTGAAATATTTATTATTAAATCCAATACATTTTTTTTTGAATTTCAAAATACTTTATAATATTTTATCAAGTAAAAAAATGCTAATTTATCTAAATTTTTGTACATAATTTACTACAATAATAATGTTACAGTTGTATTCTTATAATTATGACCAAAGTGATCAGCATTATGTTTCTAAATAAAAACATTACAATTGGTCACGCCATTCTGTTTAATATTTTGGTAATTTTTTTTAAGAAATGTTAGGAACTGCAATTTAGACTCACAAATTGTGCCAATATGATCGTAATAAATCAAAAATTGACATTTATTATGCCGTATCATTATGAATCTAATTGGGAGATCAAAATAGGTTTAAGAATTTTTTTCCTTGTGTTTGTATATAATTATTCTAATATATGTTAAGATGAAAAAAATATTGAATATAATGGTGACAATCGTTTATAGTAACAGTGATCAATAAAATCACAAATAAAATTAGATGAAAATTTTTGTTTCTCATTTATCAAACAATATTGCCATCTTTATCATAAATTAAAATTATTCATTAAATGTGATACTATTACATAATATTATCATTACATCTAATATTTAATTTTTAAGAAAGGACAATTATTAATCAAAAGATCACAAATGCATAATATTATCATCTGTATGATTTTATTGCCAACAATTTTTGGCTTATATGTCAACAAACCTAACAAGCGTTAAAGGGCATTTATTACCATTTATTACATAGATATTGTGATTACAACAATCTTGTCACAATTATTATAGCCCAAAAGTGACCCACATTTTAATTTTTGGTAGTGTTATATGTATCAATTAGTATACATATTAATATTATAACTAGTGTTATAATATTATTATTAATCATATTTATTATACAAGTTACAAATATTTAAAACCAAACCACTGATATCATATCATCTATTAACACATTAGTGTGTATATTAATTGGTACATATAACATTATTCTTTAACTTTTCATAAAGGATATAAATGAGGGAATTTTTTTTCCTTATGAGACCTTAATATAAAATTATACAAGTTTTATGAATTTACATAAATTTATATTTAGCATATATATATGTTTTTTTATTTATGTAAGAACTTACGTAATTTTATATTAGAATTGCATTCACAAGAGCATTTCCCATAAATGAGACACATTATTTTAATTTTTGTATGAGTAGAAATATAAAAAAATTTATATCAATTTTCTTAGTCTTCATTTGGCATAAGCTAAATTTTTTTTTTTTGGTTAAAATAGTTCAAAAAAAACAAAATAGATTTTTAACTCAATAAGATAAAATGTCACATCTAAATCATAATCATTTTTTTTTCACAAAAATAAAAAAAAATAAACAAATTGGATGTCAATTTTTCTATATTCACATCCTAAACAAATAATTAAAACATCAACCCACATCCTAAACAAATCTCTTCCTATATTCACATGAGCATTGGACTTACACCAACTCACACCTACACTTACATGAATATTACGGTAATTGTAACCAATTGGATGTCAATTTTTTTTTTTTTAAAAGATGAATTATATATCCGTGGATGTATATGGGTATGTTTGGTTTGAATTTGGAAGATGAGTTTTAGAAAAAATTTTCTAAAAAATTGTTTGGTTTGAGTTTTTCTCAAAAAAAATTCAAAATCACATTATCTCTCTTACACATCAATCAATCACTTTTTCTCTCTCCTCTCTCCTTCTCAATCACTTTTTTTCTCACACACATCTACTCAAATTTTTCCAAAATATCAAATCATCACAAACTCTCAAAAAAACAACTCTCCCAAAATATACAACCAAACAAATCAAAAAAATTTCTAAACTCTCTCCCTAATTTTTTTTTTCAAAAATAACTCTTCCAAAAACAAACCAAACAAGCCCATAATTTTTGGTAAAAAAAATTCCGCACCCCACCAACATATAATGCGCTTATGAAAAATATATACATTCATAAAAAATTATAATTATAATTATTAATATTTATAAAATTTTGTAATAATTTATAATTATTTTAGGCAAAATAGTGGAATATTTTTCCATAAATATTTGATAAAAATTTAGAGGTGTCTATTATTTTTTTGTTTTTCCTATATAATTTTGGTTTGAATGTTTACTCATGTATAAATTTCCAATTTCAATTCTTAACTAAGAAAATATATACATTTTATTTTCCGCGTCTCCTTTCTCCACTTTCTCTCTCAGAAAAACCCTAGAAATATCGATCTGAAAATTTTAAGGGAAAGCAGTAAAATCATCACAGCTAGCGAAATTTGGTGTAAATCTTTTGCGCGCGCGCGCGCACACACACACAAATATATATATATATATATAATTTATATATATATTTATGCAGTTTATTTCTCTATCATCACCGCCAGTTTTCACCAGAACCGCCACGATGATGACACAATCATCGACTCGTTGCATTCAGAGGAATCTTCTCCTCCGAGCTTGATCACCACCTGCATGCGCAATTCGCATCATCGTGATCTTTGTCACCACCGCCTCGATCGTCGCCGGAGAATCTATGTGCTTGAAATTAGGGTTTCGTTGATGCATGATATAAATAAATGCCTCTGGGAGGGGATCTGGGTTTTTCGTACCTGGTCCTAGTGGCGGCCTTGGTGGCTCCAGCGGTGATTGCATTCGTGGTCCGCCGAAAATGGCGGGCTTCGGTGGCCAGGACTGAGGAGATCAAGAGGCTTTTGGTCTTGGCTTCGGAGGAGACAGCTAGGGCTGAGCTTGAGGCCTCTACCTATGTCACTTCACCGGCGTTGATTCCTCCGCCTTTACCGTATCGCTGCGCCGTGTGTTATTCCCCCACCACAACTCGCTGTTCTCGGTGCAAAGCCGTTCGATACTGGTATTGTAATTCATGACTTTTTTTTAATTATGGATTGTTGAATTTTGATTGCTTTTTGTTTCCCTGGTTGTTTATTTAAAATTCAGCTCAACAAATTAGGGCATGTTTTGATCTTGACCTGAATTGTGGTACATCAATTTAATTTGCATATTGTTTGCACTAATTTTAGATGAATTTGGTGAGAATGGACTTGATCTCTTGTTAATAAGAATTATTGGTTGGAATTGTAGAAATTGATGAGAAAGGGGTTAAGCAAAAGCTGTTCCGGGAGGGCTTTATACCATCCATATCTTGCGGACTAAAAATGGAAAGATACTGGTAAAAAATGGACGTAAAATCGCCAAGGGGAATATTATGTTCCTATTATGTTCCTCCTTACACTGATTCTTAATTGATGAACCCTGCCATGTGGTTGACTCAGGCGACACAATTTGTCCGCCAAAAAATAATCTGCCGGTTGTGACGAAACATCAACTAAGATAGGTACAAATGACTATCAAATGTGCTAGTTATGTATGTTCATATCCACGGCTGGCTGATGTAGTATGCATGCAAAAAACAAGAGGAGCGGAGAGGAAAAAATAAAGCCTTCATGCTCATACAATGTGCTAGTTATGTATGTTCATGGTTATGAGGTTTTGATTTTATGCTCATACAATGCCTGTATAGCATTATGCTAATCTGAGATATGAGGTGAACCTTATGGATAGGAATGGCAGGTGGGTGTGTGACAAGGCTTCATATGATATCGCTGCCCTATATGCTAGAAGAATTCATCATTCCCTTTCCACCCTGATCCAGCGATGCATTTGAATTTTGAGTCCCAAAAGCCTTCATGGGATACTTCTTCATTGGTGAATCCTGCCATGTTGGATTTTATGCTCGTACAACACCCTGTTTAGCTTTATGCTAATCTGAGATTATGAGGTGAACTTATGGAGGTGAACTTATGGATAAGAATGACGCCCCGTATGATATTCCAACCCAATATGCCACGAGAACAAACCCTGGATCTCTCTCCACCTTGATCCAATGATGCATTTGAATTTTGAGTCTCAAATGCCTTCATGGGAAACTTCATTAAACCCATCTTCAACTTACATTGTCCCATTTTGTTAGCAAAGCATATTGTTTCCAACTGAGAGTTGGGTTACGGGGAGAAAAGACTGATTGTAGATCTATAACATATCTAAATATATTAGCTCGCATTACATTGGATATTTATAAATAAATAATAATTTGTATCTCATGTCAACTTTAGTGATGGCAACAATGGAGTCATCTGGCTGTGGCAGAAATACGGATTGGTAGAGAGGGGAAGCATGACATGATCTTGTGAGGTGTGAGAAATGATGAAAATAATTAGAAATATGTTCAAGTCCTAGTTCAGTTCTGAAATCCTTTTCTATTAGGAAGTTAGGAACCCTTAATCTGGTAGGAGAAGTTGTATACCTCTATTTAAGCAAAACTTTTTAAATATATTGGGTAAGTTGATTAATTATATTTCTCAGTAGATTTTTCTCTTGCATTGGTGAGATTCCATTGATTTGTTCTAGGTGCGGCTCTTTGAAAACCTTGGGGAGATACTAAGGTTTAAACTTCAACTCAATCCTAGAAATCATAGTTCACAACCTGAGTCTCTTGCTCACGGTGACTACATAACCCTGGTGCCTACAAGAACACATTATGGCCCTGGTTACTATTCACAGAGACTGCTCAAAGTTCCACAACAGTCCCAAAATTCTCTCTTTTCTTTCAGTGTTAAACTCTTATACTCTTACCCCTTTGGTACACCTTTTGAAACTAAAGGGGCAATAAAGGAGGACCAGTTTAAAAGGACCAACCAACCCCCTATAATCATGGGGTTGAGATGAAGTTATGGATGAAAGACAACTTTCTTCCTACCAGAAATGGGAGAATTTCTCATCAGAAGACATTCCCTATCAAAGTTGGTGCCAAGCAAAGATATTTGGGCAATACTTTGTATATAATCCAAACCAAACCAAGCCAAGCTTTAAGATCCATCAAATGGAGTCGGCTACATGAATCTTCCTTCTCCACACGGCTCTATCAAAAGCTATTTCATTAGTCAAATTAAGTAGATCCATATCTTTATTTACAACGGTAGCCAACGTTAATCTAGGCCTACTTGGTCCCCTAACACTTCCATCTACCGCCATTGAATTGCATCTCTTCATTACTGCCTCTATTAGTCTCCGTTGAATATGACCAAACTATCTCGATTGATTCTCTCTCAACTTATCAAACTTTGTATATATAATATATTATATAGGTGTTGAAGCTGCTGATGAGTCTACAGTATTTGTGATACAATTGATTGGTAAATATTCGTGATTTTTTTTTAATCTCAGTTGAACTTTATTGATATACACAAACTTTATAGCCTTCAAATATGATTCTGTCATGAATTCCATGTGTGTAGGCAGTAGCTGTGAAAGTAGGATTGCTTCACGATGTGTTTATATGTGCATGTTCTCTTACTCAGCAACCACCAGCATGTCTCATAATATCAATCCTTCAATATCTTAATGTTTTGTGTGCCTTTGGAGTTCTTATATGTTTGCAGTTACTCACATGAGAATTTGACTGTTTCAGCTCTGGTAAGTGTCAAATTATTCATTGGAGACAAGGCCACCAGGCAGAATGCCGTTCTATTACTACTACTTACCCGATCAATGACCTGGGTGGTGGTGCCAGTCAAAAGGTGTTGAAGCAAGAAGAAGAGGAGATTTATGGCAACAGCTTTGAGACTGAGGAAAGGCAGTATGCTGAATCAGTTAAAAATTTACCTGAGGAACCTGCATTTTCTAAATCAAATGGCTCTGTTGATAGTTTTTGTGGTAGTGATGACAGTGAAGTTAAGTGCGCTGCTAATGGGAAAGAGAAAAATTCTAGTTCACGTGAAACCAAGAGATCAGTTGGACATCAGTCTGCTAATGTTTTCCCTGATAAGCTTGAGACCAATTGTGTTGACATGGATCAAAATGGGCCACCATCTTCAAAGCACAACACTTCTGTGGGTTCTGTAGATCGTCTTACTAGTTCAGGTAAGTTAAACAAGACCAAACCCAATGGTAGAAATCATGATATTCAGTATGAATCAACAAGCACTTCAGGCTGGAGTGCTGATGGCACCAATGACTCTTCATTTTCTGAGCCTTCTACCCCATCTTCTGGTTTTTGGGAAGGAACTATCAAATCTAGTAGGCCCAAAATTGATACCCTTGACGTTTCTGCTCAGTCCAGTTCCAGTGGGGCTGGTGATGGCAACATACACAATTCTCCATCATCTCTAAGTTCTTCCTTCAACTTTGATAATAGGAATTCTGTTCCTTCTGCAGATGTACAAGGTTCTGATACCACAACAGTCATATCAGATGGTGCTCATTCAACTACTTCAGGGATCAAGAAACCTATCGATAGGGCTGTTCTGTCAGAAGAAATTGGTGAAGATGTTTCAAAGGGCAGGAGTTCACCATTATTATCAAGCCCTGAAAAGTCTAATCACATGGATGTTCACACTAGCAGTGATTCACTTGTATCGAAGTCCAGAGAACCTAGATATACCTCGTCTAGTGCTTATGCTTATCCAACTTCAAGTGCTGGAGGGCCTTCAGTTAGTACACATGCTTCAAAGGTCAGTAGCATCCGGTCTGTGAGCCCTAAAAGGTCAAATCATGTGAGTAATGGCAGTAGCACTACTCCTCGTTCATTGGAATCTAAAGAAAGTGGACCTTTATCGTCTACCACAAGAAGGCATTCACTTCAGGGTGCAAAATCTGGAAAGGATGATAGTGCTCATGCAGTTTCTGTTAGTTCTTCTGAGAGTACAAGTTATTCACCAAATGCTATTAATGGCTTGAAAACATCAATGCTGAAAGTTGTTGGCCAGCTCAGAGCCTCTAAATCTTCGCGACAGTCTCAGTCAGAGGTTGGGAGTGAGATTGCTGGAAGATATGATAACAAGGTTTGACAAGAATATTGTTATGCTATTTTGTGCCTGAAACTTATATATTTTGGGATGTGTGATTCACTTGCATTGGATGTCTTTTGTTTTACAGGGTCTGTTTTCATACGAACTTTTTGTCAAGCTTTACAACTGGAACAAGATTGAACTGTGGCCATGCGGCCTGATAAATTGTGGGAACAGGTAAGTTAGAGCTGTTCTACATTCTGAAAAGCAGATAGTTAAGTTGTCCATAATTCTCAAAGTTTTGTTGTACCCTTGATTGATGTGTTGCTTCTGCTACTACATACACTATTATTCTATATGCAAAATATTTTGTTACATGACATCCTTTTCTTTTTCAGTATTTAATTTTTTTATGTGATAAAATTTGACCATTGCTTACTTAAATGGTTCTTTCTAGAAAAGCAGTGTTATATTTTGTGAACTTGTATGCTATAATCTGCCGTCTGTTTTCTGCTGAAGTTGTTCATGATGTCACATTGGTTTGCCAAGGACTATTTCATTTTCCTATTCTACTGCTTATTTCATATTCGAGTGTATTGATCAAGCTTTAAGTTTGCAGCCACAAGAATAAAATTTTTTGTTAAATTGAAACATCAAGTTTGTTGATAGGTTGGAACACGTAAGCTGTCTCCAAACTGTGTTGCACTGATTCCTCAAAAGCTATATGCAAATGCATTTATTTGTACGCAAACACATGCACACACACTAGTTTTTAGCTCGCCTCTGACTATGATTGTCGGTATGCACACATCTTTACAACGGAGGCCAACAAAAGCAGTAGTGAAGAGATGCGATACAGTGACGGTAGATGGTAGTGTTAGGAGAAGGCGTAGACCTAGATTGACGTGGCCTAGTGTAGTAAATAGAGATATGAATCTTCTTAATTTTATTAATGAAATGGCCTTGAATAGAGACGCGTAGAAAAGAAGGATTCATGCAGCCAGCCCCATTTGATTGGACTTAAGGCTTGGTTTGGTTTGGTTTAGTTTATGCTAATTATGTATGCTTGAGGAAACATTTATTGACATATTGCGTGTTGCATTATGAATATGATTTAAAGATTCAGAATCTTTTTGTAGTGCCTTTTTTTCTATATTCACAATATGTTGATACTATCAATATAGAGGAGTGAAAACTGGCTTATCATATAAATTTTGTGGACTAGACGTGTGTATGGCATCATGTAATATAGTTCCTACTTGTATTGTTTCAGTCAAACTTGATCAGAAATCACACTCACAAAAATGTGATTTCTTCTTTTCTAGAAAAGTTTTGGTTTGTGTTCATCAGTTGATAAAGTATATATGTATTTTTTTCATTTCTTTTCATTTGATTTGTAAAGTGCCTTCTTGTTTTCTAATACATGTGCGTGTATTCTTTCAAACCTCTCGCAGCTGTTATGCTAATGCCGTGCTCCAGTGCCTGGCATGTACGCCACCTCTGACTGCTTATCTTCTCCAAGGACTTCATTCTAAAGCATGTATGTTTCTATGATCTCTTTTGCTGGATCCATCATGTTTCAGATTTTTGGGTGCCATATGTTTTGACTGTTTGATTGTATCAAATTCTTTTATTTTTCTCTCTTTGATACAAGGTGAGACAAAAGGATGGTGCTTCACCTGTGAATTTGAAAGATTAATTCTGAAGGCAAAGGAAGGAATTTCTCCACTGTCTCCAATTGGGATACTATCTCAGATTCAAAGCAATGGAAGTCATCTTGGTAATGGGAGACAGGAAGATGCGCATGAATTTCTAAGGTGACATTACTTTTATTTATGTGGAGCCTGATTAGATAAATTTACGCATTTCAAGTTTCTTTATGATTCATCACGATACGTGTTTGTGCAAGCCATTTAAAAGATGAGATCGGCAGGTACGCTATAGATACGATGCAATCTGTTTGCCTCAAGGAAGCTGGAGTGAATGCATCAGGGTCTTTAGAAGAAGAAACAACTCTAATAGGCCTTACATTTGGGGGCTATCTTCGGTCAAAGGTAAATTGGTGGTCCAATTTTCAGAGCTTTATATAACTCTCTCTCTCTCTCTCTGTCTCTCTCTCTCACACACACACACATCCTGTTGCGTTAATGATTGCTTGAACTTTATTTGGCAAGTTATAAGATTGTTCGCTGTCTGGAATATGAGTTATGCTTATGAATTTGATACTCTCTGCAGATAAAGTGCATGAAGTGTGGAGGCAAATCTGAGCGGCATGAAAGGATGATGGATCTCACTGTTGAAATAGGAGGAAATATAGGAACTCTAGAGGAGGCTCTGCGACAGTTTACGGGCACTGAGATTCTGGATGGTGAAAACAAGTATCAGTGCAGCAGGTTGGTTGGTTTGTTTTATTTCTTGAAATTCTAGAAAGTGACTTTTGGTATAATTGTCAGATGGTGACAAATATTGTTCATTTATATGATTTGTAGGATCATTAGACATTAATATTACTTCTCAGCTGCTACGTTAAACTTGTTTATACATGTTATAAAAAATTAAGGTTAAGAAAATAGGTCAAGATAGAAGAGATTTATCCTTGAAGCTACAAGGAGAATCCTTGGCATGATTTCAAAACACTATTTTTATTTAGTTATTTCAAATCCAACATGATAAAACTATATAATTCAATCTTGAAATCCATAGGTAAATTATCACATCTAAATTTGAGCTATTCTCCTTGAATGATTAATGCCAAATCCTTGGCATGATTTCAAAACACTATTTTTATTTAGTTATTTCAAATCCAACATGATAAAACTATATAATTCAATCTTGAAATCCATAGGTAAATTATCACATCTAAATTTGAGCTATTCTCCTTGAATGATTAATGCCAAATCCATGCATTTCAAATCCTTAAATATCCACCTTTAATAGCTAACTATCATGTCCCGCCAAGTTACCTAGTCAAAATTGCCAAATCCTACACTGCCAAATCCTACACTGCCAAATCCTACACGGAAGAGGATCTCTAGGAATGAGGCTAATGGAAGATTCCAGAACCTCCTGGAAGTTGTGGAGAATGCTGGAAGACTTGAGAGGCTTATGGAATTCTCTAGAATCCCCTAGAGGCTTAGAGAATCTTATGGGAGGATCTAGAGAATTGTACTTAGCATACTTGTACATAATTGTAGAATATACATAGAGTTTTCTAGAATAGGTTCTAGAACATTCTCATTGTAAGAGATGTTGGAAGAGTCTAGAACACTCTCCATCCTTGTAGTTCTAGAATATTCTTTGTAGCCTATAAATAGGAGAGGAGCTCATTTGCTCCAATCCATCTAAGAGTTGTACAAATTCTCTTAGGCTGTGTATGGTTGGAGGATTTGAGGTGAGATTTGGAAAGAGAAAAGGTAGGTGAAATGTGAATAAAATATACCTATATTTCACTTAGTCTCATACGCCTTTTTCCTTTTTCTTTCCAAATCCCTAAACCAAACATAGCTTTAAGTGAATACAAAGAATTCTCTCAAATTCTCTCTGTCTTCTTACTTCTTTTTCTTGCAAACCTGTGAGTTAGGCTGTCTTAGCCTCACCAATAAGGCTTGTGAACGTCTAAGTGCCGCACGGAGTGCTTGGAAATAACCAAAGCCGTGACATAACGCTCCAATATTTTTGTAAAAATCAATCTCAAAATTCCTTGATTTGAAATACATCCATCTAAACGGACTACACTCTTTTGTGTTTGTATGGTGGATGTGTAGTTCATATCGATGCAATTCTAGAATTGTATGTTTAATAGTTTTGTATTTACTTGTAAGGTTTTATTTTTATTTTTGTCAAAAAGAAATGTATGCAAATTTCATCAGCAGAATGTTGTATATACCAAATTCAACTTTTTCTTTTTCATTTTCTTTTCTTCTTCTTCTTCTTCTTCTTCTTCTTCTTCTTTTTTTTTTTTTTTTTTTTTTTTTTTGTGGGGGCATGTTAAGACATTCAGATAATGAACTGACATTATATGTTTTTACAGATGCAGATCCTATGAGAGAGCCAAAAAGAAGTTGACAGTACTGGAGGCTCCTAATATTCTTACTATAGCATTAAAGCGGTTTCAGGTAACCGTGTAAATCAAGAGTAATGTTTTGCTATCGATGATGTTTTCAGAATCTGTTGCTAACTTTGCATGATTTCTACAGTCGGGTAAATTTGGAAAGCTTAATAAGTCAATTCAATTCCCGGAGATTCTGGACCTGGCCCCATATATGAGCGGGACGAGTGACAAATCGCCTGTATACAGGCTTTATGGAGTGGTGGTTCACCTGGATATCATGAATGCTACATTTTCCGGTCATTATGTGTGTTATGTGAAGAATGTCCAGAACAAATGGTTCAAGATCGATGACAGTACAGTATGTTCTTATTCATTGCCATTTTGTTTATCTGACTTGTTTTGTTAGTCATTTCATTATCTTAAATTAAGCCTTCGCTTGGGATAAACTCTTTTAGCTTGATTTTTTGGCAATTTTAACCTCATTAAAAAAGTTGAGTTTGGGATGATGATTGGTTTTTTATTTTATTTTTTTTATTTTTTTGTAGTTGATTTCATGGTTGTGAGAGGAAAAATGAAATGATTATGGTTTGAATGTGACATTTTGGTTTGTTAGCTAAAATATCTTATTTTCTCTTTATTGCCTAATTTAGCCCTCGACCCACATTCCAAATTTTTAGGCATGTTCAAGCCCTATTTGGGAGGGCTATTTGGGCTAAAATAGCCAATAAGGATGATAGACTAAAATTTTCAATAAGACAATATCACATGCAATCCATAATCATTTTACTCTTTCTCTTTCCAACCATCAAATACTATGAAAAAAAATCAATTCTTCCCAAATACAACTTTTTAAGTGAGGCGAAAATAATCAAAAAGTCAATTAAAATAGTCAACTTTCCAAACGGGGTCTCAGTTTTTGATTTTTGTCCTTTTTTTACATTATGGGTCTTAAAATTTCATTTATATGTCTCTCTTCTTCTGCATTATTGTCAATTATGGTAGGTAAGGGCTGTGGAACTTGATAGTGTCTTGACAGAAGGGGCATACATGCTCCTATATGCTAGGTATGATCTCTCTCTTGGTTGATATTTTAGCATCTTACTAGTTGGATGTCTAGATGTCTAACTAATATTTTTTGACAGATGCTCTCCCCGGGCCCCAAGATTGTTAAGGAGCTCAATTATACAGCGTGATCCCAGAAAAATAGAGAGTCCTACAGTTAATCATTGGAATGTTTCTAGGGTTGTTCCTGTAAATGGTCAGACCCGTATTGAATGCTTATATCCGAATCACGCAAGTTTTCAGCCAGCCCGGACGATTTTTGAAGAGGATAATTCAAGTGACAATTCTTCCTCCATCTTCTCCGAGGTGTGTTCATGCAGTACCGACAGCAGTAACAGGGACACTTCTAGCACTGATGACCACTTTGATCCCCTTTTTGGTGACCTGGGTCACAACTGGAATAGCCTGTGGAGGCACCCGTTAGATTCAGACTCATCAACTTCATCATCCTCTTCCTCACCTTCCCCATTGTACTCCAGGCATTCACCACTTGCTGATTCTGACCGTTATTCTTCAGGATATCCCGAGACCAGTGGCTTTCAAAATCAGAATGGGGAATCAGACGACCATGGGTTTTGGGGAAGAATACCCAGTGGGAGCTTAAACCAAGAAGATGAGGCAAGTAATGTTCCCTTTTTGTACTGTGATAGAAGCAGTCTGTGTAGAAAGTTAGTTAGTACTAGTTGTAGGGAGACTGACTTGGACAGATTACGATGGGCTAACCCTTCGGCTTACAAGAAATCTGATGTGTGTTTTAGAAGATCAATGAGTGAAAGAACAGATTAAAAAGCGTTTTTCTTATTGTAAAGATATTGAGTTAGAGAGAGGAGGTGGGAATAAGAAGAGTTTAGGAATGAGGGGAGGGGTGAGAGAGAGAGGCTTGTATGTATTGTACTCTTGTTTTGGGGAGGGGTTAGAGAGAGAGGCTTGTACGTATTGTACTCTTTTGTTTTGGGCTTTGTCTAGAAGATTGGCCATTATTTTGTCACTCTCTCTTCCCTTTATATATAAAGCATCCATTTTCTTATTGCTGGTGTACAATGTTGTGTTCGAAAATTCACTTAGGGCCCGTTTGTTTTGGAGTTAAATAGATGGGAGGGAATTAGAATGGTAGAGGTGATATAGATAGAGGTTGGGGAGGGAATTGAGATGGAGGTTGGGGAGATGTTATTAGAAAAATAGTGAGGGGATAATAATTTTTTTTATTTGTTATATATTGGGAATTTTTTTATTAATATTTATGTTTAATTTTTTAAATTTTTTTATTTGTTTTATTATTTTATATAAAAATAATTTAACAATTCTTACACTAACAACTATTATCAAAATTAACATAATTTTATTTAATTCTCTCACTGTCAATCTCAAAACAAATGGGGTTTTAATATTCTATTTATTTGGATAAAAAAAAAATTTTATTAAAAAAGATTTACAAAAAGATTTTCTTAGATTATGGTGGCTATCTTTAATATTGTCTTAGTGGTGGCGGCATAGTGTCGTGGCATTAGTACTATAGTACGAACAAGATTTCTGACATTTTGAAGGTGAAAAGCAAATTTTAGTCTAATAAGCTCGGTTTCTGTTGATCACAAAAAAAATAATTTAAAAAATTTATTTAGTGTGTTTTATTTTAGTTTTTAAATTCAGTTTTTTGAAAATTAAATTTTTTTATTTTTCGTCTTTTTGGTTTTTAGTGAATATTTTTAAAATTTGAAGTAATTTTTAAAATTTTTTAGATATATTTTACTTAGATGTATTTAAATAGTAAATTATTTGTGAAAAATATTTTAAAAAATTAATAAATACACAAAAATATGAAAAATATATTGAATTTTTATATTTTTTTAAATTTTTGGTATTTAGAAAAAAAAATTTTTTACAAATATTATACTATTTAAATGTATTTATGTTAGGTGCATCTAAACTTTTTTAAAAAAAATTACTTAAAATGTTAAAAAAAAGTTAGTGAAAAAAAAAATACAAAAAATGAAAAAGTATATTTTTTTTTTGAAAAGTTAATTTTAAAAATTAGAAACAAACAAAGTGATTGACTTTCGTTTTCTGTTATACTATGGTGTTTGGGAAGTTTGTGTGTTGGTTTTCTTTTATTTTTTCCACTAAAAGATAAATTTTTTGCAAAATTAAAAAAAAAACAAATTCAAACAAAATATCACATCTAACCCCATAATCATTTCACTTTTTTTTCTCACACAACATCACATCCAACGACAAAAAAACCCCACTCTCTTCCCAAACACCAAAAAAAAAATTTTCAATAATATCCTACAACTAAAAAATCTACATAAAAACTCACTTTCCAAACAACCACTATATGTTAAAAAAATATTAATAATATTTTTTAAAAATATTTTTTTTGTCAAAACAAATGGAGTGCTAGTTTTCTGTTATGTTTTTTTTCCCTCCTAGAATAAATTGTTTTTGTGATTATTTTGATTTATTTGAAGTCTTTGGAAAATCGTTGCCGCTCAATTTTGGTTGTATTGGAAGTGCAATCTGGAAGTGTTGAGAGCATAAATTGAGTTTAATTTTTTTTTTTTTTAAAAGCAAATTGAGTTAAAAGATACTGTTTTTTTTAATATTTTTATCCCCTAATAAAACAAAAGGTGTTATAATGGTAATGGTGGGGTGTTTGGTAAAAGTTATTTTTTAATTTTTTAGGTTAATATTCATAGAAAGACAAAATAGACTAAAATAGTAAATAAGACAAAATGTTATATTAAATTCCTAATTATTTTACTTTTTCTCTTATGAATATCACATTCAACTATAAAAAAATTTAACTATCTTTCAAAATACACAAATTTTAACCTACTAAAATAATTAATAACTAAAATAACTCACTAAAATAATAACTTTTCAAATACGCACGGTATATGCACCAAAAAAAATTTAACCATTTTTTGTAGCCTTAGGAGCCCAAATCTATAAACACACTTCTAAAAAAAAATCCATGTACTCAGACATTGAGATAATGAATGGATTTTAATCACAAAACAATATTCTTATTCTTGTTTGATTCTCCAATTAGATTGATTGGTATTACAAGTACAATGTAATTGAATAATGAAATTAGTATGGATGGCTAAGTTTTAAACTAGTGAATAAATATATACTGAGACATTGGCTTATTTTGAAAAGATAGTAAAAAATAATTTTTTGACTTTTAATCAAGTTTTTAGTTTTTTTAGATAAATGATTTGAGAAGTTGGTAAAAGTTAATTTTGACTTTTTTGATTAATATTTGTTTAGGATGTCAAATCACAATAAAATGACCAAACTGTGCCTATTTATTTAAAATATTTACAACTTCACCTATGTAACACATTTTGACCCATTAGCGGTAAAATTAAAATTTCACCACTGGCTAAAAATCAACTTCCAAAATGAAAAAAAAGACAAAAGAGCCAACTTTTAACTTTTGCTACTAACTTAAAAAAGTGACTAAAAGCCAGGTTGCCAAAACACCCTATTGTTTGAGAAGAGGATTAGGTCAACGGTAGTGTTAGAGATACTAAATTTTTTATTTTTAAATGACTAAATGTCTCACGTGGGTGTGGGGTTCACTTGGTAAAAAATTTGAGGCCTATAGCATTTTTCTTAGGTTAAAATAACCTACTAAAAGATAAAGTAAGTTAAAATATTTAATAAGGTAAAATATCACATCTAATTTATAATCATTTCATTTTGGTTAGACTAAACACAACTTCTCAAAAAAAGTCAATCAACTTCTAAACACAACTTTTTTAGTTAGACTAAGATACTCAAAAAACCAAATAGCTAACTTCTCAAACAAGGCTTAAATTGAACTTAGGCTCCGTTTGGCAAGAGTTTTTTTTGGCTATTTTAGTCACAAAAGACAAAATAGGCTATTTTAGCCACAACAAACAAAACATCACATCCAACCCATAATCATTACACTCTTCTCTCACAAAAAAAAAAGTCAAAAAAATTAAAAAATCCTTCCCAAACCAAGCTTTTTAGCCCAGACTAAAATAGTCAAAAAAATCAAAAAATCAACCCACTTTCCAAACGGAGGCTTAGAATTTTTATTTTTATTTTTATTTTTTATTTTTCTTGAAGAAAAATAAAATGCCATAGCACATAAGAACATTACATAAAGTGATTGGCTCCTCTGGGAGGCAATTTTAGCAGCTGTATGTGCTGCCTCCACTACCATCCTTGGAACCCGTTTATTTTTAGAGATAAAATGGAAGAAATTTATATGGAGGAGATTAATAGTAGGAGGATTATTAGTGAAGAAATTAATAGTGAGGGGATTAATAGTGAGGAATTGTTAAATTATTTTTATATAAAATAATAAATTCCCTCAAAAAAAAAAATTAAACATTATGTTTAAAAAAAAATTCCCAATATATAAAAAATAAAAAATTTCTAATCCCCTCACTATTTTTCTAATACCATCTCTACCTCCTCTTTACCAATCCCCCTTCCTCCTCCTTACTAATACCAAGGGATTACTAATCTCCTCCCTATCTCTCAAAACAAACACCTCATTCTCAATCCCCTCCTCACTACCTAATCCAATCTCCTCTCTATAACCCGAAACAAACGGAGCCTTGGAGCCTTAGATATACAAACATAACTAAACTGATTACATAAAACAAAAATATTATGAAAAAAATTATCATAAAAAAAGTCAGTAATTGTAAGTTTTAGCGACAATTTATAAAAATCATATGATAAAAAAAGTCATTAATTGTCAATTTTTAGCAACGTATATAAAAAATTATCACAAAAAAATTATTTTTAGCCATAATTTTATTAAGACTTATTTTCAATAGAACTTGATAGGAATTAAGTCTAACTATTAAGACCTATTAGTAATTTACCAAATGTTTAAGAGCACTAAAAATAGAGCTTTAATGAAAATTCTATTTATGTGACAGTGGGCCCCACTCATAAATGATTGGATATATGTATCTTATTTTATTTTTTTTACTCCATATCATATCATTAGAGCCATTATTAAAATTTTAAATTTAGAGCTACGAATCATTAGACTACATAAAATTCTGATATCTAATATCATATGCCTAATCTACCAATCTATCACCTTAGCTGCCTTAATTTGCTGGATAAGCACTAGGCAATCCTTATAAATAGTAATAGCCATGATATGCTGTTGTTCTACACACCACAACTTAAAATTGTTAATACTACAAAATTGATAGAGAATATTTTTTACTATAAAATGAATTTTTAACAATGGTTAAGTATATTATTACAATTATGAAAGCAAGTTAAGAATTATTACAACACAAATTATGTTTACTTTACTTGATAAAATTGATTTTCAGTTTTTTCAACATCGTCAAATTCAATTTTATAAATCTTGTCAAATTTGGATTATGAAAAATGCGGCAGACCCCAATAAAACTGACCTCCAGTGCCACGTGACACTGGATGATTGGAAGGAAAAGAAAAAAAAAATTATTTTTACCTACTGGGAGTGCTGGGGTCGCTAGCACCACTGTTTGGATTATATATCTAGTATTTTGTCTAAATCTCCTTTTAAAGGTAAAAATATACAGAGCATAGAAATTGTATGACCACGTCATTAACAAAATTGATGAACCAAGATGACTACTTGATGGGAAAAAAATTTGTAATTGTAATTAGTGGAAGGAAAATGGCTCATACACCCACCCCAGTGAGGTGGCACTCCATTATTGGCCAAAAAAAAATTGTTTTTTTTTTTCTTTTTTCAAATTTCAACCAGTGGGGGCGCGACACCCATTGGGGGTATCCAGCACGGTTGATTAGTGGAAATGTTTTTGTGAAAACCTCCAAATTGGGACATGGCAGAGAGTCAAGATCCCTTCTTTGTACTTCTTTTTTGTATTTTCCACTTGCAGGGTTATTGGGCTTACTTTTAGGCTCAATTTTGATAATCCGAACCGTTGATATTTTAAGATTTGTTCAATATATCATACCTGTAAAAAATCAAGTTAATCGGATATCATAAAGCATGTGTTCGGAAAACTG